AGTTCAGTCACATACTAGCAAGCACAGGCATGGGCTGTGCAGGTGAGGCATGCAGGAAAACAGGCATGGGCTGTGGGTCAGGTGGAGAGCAGCAGTGGCAGCCCAGGGGCAGGAGGCAAGAAACACCTGGCAACATTTCCAACTCCTCCCTACCCAACTGAGTCTGGGTTCCCACTTCCCAGGTCAGAGGTTGGAAAAGGCATGGAGTTCTTGGCACCCAGCCCCCTGGGAGCTGCAAGCAGGGAGCCACACAACCCCTCAGCACTGGCAACCTGTCCACTCCAACCCCCTGCCCCAGTCCAGGTCTTCCTCCCTCTCCATGTGAATCCTGGGGAAACTCTGGGCACAGACCCCTGGAATAGGGTGACCACCCATCCCTAACTGAATGAAACAATCCCAAAATATAAACATCAAGCCCTGGTCCTGGGCTGAATGACTCTGGGACAGCATTTGTCCCAGATTTTCCTTGACACACTCAACTATGGTCTTAGTATCTTGTGCAGGGATCTGGATTTTCCTTTTGCTGTGAATTGGCATGGATTTTCTCCTCTGAAGGAGAAAAGAACAGGAAACCATGGGTTGCCTCTTGCAGGTTGGCAAAGTTCCAGCCTGCAAGAGGTTGCTTGGGGCTGTGGGGAGTGGCTGCAGGGGGCATCACATGCATGTGTCCATGCACACGCATGTGGCCAGCCATACACCCAGGCAGCAGTGGAGAGCAGCTCCCCAGCTGCCTATAGATAAGTCTCGGGGGTTGGGGGGGGGGAGAAGGGACATAGGGGAGGTAGACTGTGGTCCCTCCTCTTGGTGACAGGTGGAGTGGGACAGGATTGGAGGCTGTGGCTGGGGGCCCTGCCCAGGCAGGGCAGTGCATGGGGCCCAGAGTGTGGGTGGGAATGCACAACCCTTTGGATGGAGCCAGGATCATCCCAGCCAGGGAACAGCATGGGGGTAGGCTCCACATTGCTGCGTGCACTCCTGGAGAGGGTGGCATGGGGGGCACATGCCCCCCCACCCATATATGTGCATGTGGTGGGGACAGATACAGGCTGCCTGCTGTGGGACTCAGGGCTCCTTGCCCTGCTGCCCTTCCGCAAGGGCCTCCATGGCCTATCTGGCAGGACTTGGCATGGGAAGACAGAGTGGGGTGGGGAGGCTTGGTGCTGCCACTGCTGCTGGGAGCCCTGTACCAGCCACCACTTTCTGCCATGTCTGTGCAGATGGGGTAAAACTGAGCCTCTCCACCATGTCCTGCCTGATAGGCCACAGAGTTCCTGGGGGGAGGGTAACAGGGTGAGGAGCCCCAGCCCTGAAGCCCCCTACAGGCTCCACTCAGCTCTGCTTCAGTTGTACCACCCATGCGGGGGGTGGGGGGGAGGAGGGGGAGTATATATATCCCACCTTTGGTTTTTGGTGGTAACCTTCCCCTGGAAGTCATGATGGTCTTGGTACTTTACCAGCCCCTGGTGGCATTCTTACAATTGTACAATCCCTACAAGGTGAGAGTAGTGCATCTACACATGTAACTAGGGTGAAGAAATAAATTCCAGTGCAGTTCATGCTGGAGCTTATTTCTCCTGGGAGCAACATTTACATGTATGCCCTGGACCACAGCATGTTGAGTCAGGGTAGAGCAGCCCTGAGCTAACAGGGGGTCTGGAGGCTGGTAGGGGGGTGAGTCCTGGGCTCCAGGTGGCAACTTCAGGCAGTAGAGGGGTTGGCTGAGGCACAAGGGTGCTACAGTGTGGGGGCTAGCTGCAGCCTTGTGCCTCAGCCAACCCTGGTCACCATCTACATGTGTGGTACAGTGGTGTAAATTACTCTACCTTAGGATAGTACTTGTCCCTAACAGTACTATCCTGCGATGGAGTTAATTAATTTACTATACCCTAATGTAGAATGCAGATGGTGATTCTTACTGAGGAGCCAATTAGTCAATTCTGCAGTAAAATGCACATGTAGATAAACCCAGGTCTACTTAGAACCCTTAGTAGTGTACTGGGGGGACGCTTTTGTCCAGGGACAATTGTCAACCACTTCCCAATCAATGACATTCTTGGAATGGTTCAAGGGTTGCGTCTGTCCATACTTGAAGGCTGGCCCTACTGCAGCAGGGAGACAGGAGAACAGTCCATGGAGAAGCTTAGGTACTAGATGAGGTACTGACTACAGCAAAACAGCAGTAGCAGAGGCTTCAGTTGCACCAAGCTACCTGGGACCTAGGGGCATCTATACATGTGCTCCGGGGGGCACTTTAATTAGAGTGGCTCTTGATTAATTGAGTCTGCTCTGACAAATGCTAATTAGCACACATATCCGAGTAGAGGTCTATCATGTGTATAGGGCCCTTGGTTTTAACCTGGGGATGGCAGTGTTGCTGCAGCTTCCCTGCTGTGGTTGATAGAGCTGTCCAGATGAAAACTGGCTGGATTAGGTCTGCATGAGCTGCAGTCATGCTTTCCAACACTGTGTAACACAAGTGTGTATGTGTGACTATGGCCAGGGAACACACTTACACTGGGGTAACTTTAATTGATTTTGTGCACTGATGGAACTGACGCTGGTGCCCAGAGCAGATGGAGAGGCAGCTATTCTGGGGTCACTGCTGTAGTAAGTGCCATTGCAGCACTTGGTTACTAGGTGGCAGAAGAATCAATCAGAAATCTATCCAAGAATAGAACATGATGTGACTTGATGAATGCCTTGTATTCAAAAGCTTGTTTAACTCTATCTCAACGATGCAGTTGGTCCAATGAAAGATATCACCATAAGAAAACCTTGCCTCTCACAGGAGCAGGAGCAGACATGTGGGGTACAATAGAAACCAGATCCTTTGCAGGGTCTGTCCTCCCTGTGGAGCTGGGGGTATATGTAGTCACAGCAAACAGCTGTGTGGGACCATGGACGTGTTCTGGCTCTTTGCTTGCTGGAGTTTTTGTGTCAAAGAGCGTGGCTTCTCTGATCAGCTGTGTAGGACTCGCTGACAAGCTCCAGCTGAACATAGCAAGCAGCACCCTTTGAAGCGTAAGCCACAGTAAGGTCTATAGACAAAACCCCATTAAACAAAGTCCTCATCACCATGCAGGTCCTGGGATGAGAAAAGGGAGGATCCCTTTGGCTCTGGAGGGTCTGGAAAATAACAAACATGCAATTCAGTGCTGCCACATGCAGAGTAATTTTTCTGGATTAGACTAGCTTTTACCTGTCTGTACTGATCTTCTTTTGCAAGCCCTCTAACTGCTTCATATTCTCCTGGTACAGAGAAGCTGGGACTATGCAGGCAGCTCTGGTTTCAGCACTATCCTCATCCTCCCAATGCCACCACTTACCAAGAAGCCTGCTACTTGTTTTTCACTCTTTCAAATGTTTCTCTGGGGATCAGGTTGGGTTTGAGCTACAGAATTTGCATCCAGACCTTGAATCTGAAGATTAGAGGTAGGTGTGGCACCAGCTGGTGTCAGAAATGATACCTTTCTGCTGTACTTGCATTCCTTTTTTTCTCTTTTCTTTTTCTTGGGCCCTTTCTCCAGGTGCCAGCCTTCATTCCCAGGAAAAAGGAGTCCTATTATAGCTATGTAAGTGTCACATCTCACAGCTCCCTTTCCTCCCACAACCTAGAGACCTCTGTTCCAGCCTCACTAAGGAGGGAGAAAGAGATGTAAAGGAGAATGGGGGGAGAGAAGATAGAGAAAGAGAAGCAGAAGGAAGGAGAAGGAGAAGAAAGGTGTGCAGACATAGGGACACAGGGTAAGGGACATAGAATCATAGAATCATAGAAGTAGGGTCGGAAGGGACCTTGTAGATCTTCAAGTCCGACCTCCCGCCTGGGCGGGAGAGAAACTGGACTCAGATGAGTCCAGCCAGGTAGGCATCAAGCCTCTTCTCAAAGACCCCCAGGGTAGGAGCCAGCACCACTTCCCTTGGAAGTTGGTTCCAGCTCCTAGCTGCCCTAACTGTGAAGTAGTTCTTGTGGATGTCTAATCTAAACCTACTCTCCAATAATTTGTGTCCATTGTTCCTTGTCATGCCAGGGGGCGCTAGGGGAAACAGTGTCTCCCCCAAACCTTCTGGTCCCCCCTAGTGAGTTTATAGACAGTCACCAGGTCCCCCCTCAGCCTTCTCTTGTGAAAGCTGAACAGGTTTAGGTCCCGCAGTCTTTCATTGTAGGGTCTGCCCTGTTGTCCCCCGATCATGCGGGTGGCCCTCCTCTGGACCCTTTCAATGTTGTCCACATCCCTCCTGAAGTGGAGCGCACAGAACTGGACACAGTACTCCAGCTATGGCCTGACCAGCGTCGCATAGA